ACCGAGCAGCTCTCAGTAAAGGTTAATGGGCCCGAGTCCATTGCATTTGTTTCAGTTAGAAATATCGACTCTATCTACCTGTATCTCCTTATATCCACGTAGAGGGGATTTGGAGTGAGTAGGCTGCTTCTGCTTTGAAGGCTTCCCTGGTGTGTCTCCAGCACAGGGTTAAGGTGGCCTTGGGAGCCAGTCTTCCTCATGAAGCCAGCCAGTTCAGAGTCACCCCTGCTGCATCTTCCCAAGCTTGGCAGAGGCTTTCCTGCCCTTTTCCCTTCCTGCTCCTGGGCTGCCTGGGGTTGAACCTCCTCTTGCCTGCAGCAGCCTAGGGGGATTCCACCAGGCTTTCCCAGTGCCAGTCCCGGTCCTTGGTTCCAGCCTGTTGTAGGCAGAGATCACCTGGCTTCGGCAAGCCACTGGTGTGTGTAGAGGGCCGGAGGGTTGGGGCCTTGACATAAGAAGTCAAAATGCAGGTGCTTGGGGCCCCTGCAGTTGGGGGCGTCCAGGAGGAAGTAGGTCTCCCCTAGTGGGACCTGTGCCCCTCCATGCTCCTGTCTCCATGAGGTAATGGGCCCACACCCTGCTCCTGAGTCAGCCCAACACCTCCCCCTTTGTCCCTGGAGTTCCAGCCTGCTTCTGAGTGTCACACTAGAACTTTTATTACTCAAAGTGTCTTACTCTTTGTTTCCAGACATACAACCCCTCTGTCTATTGGGGGGGGGGGTGATCATGAGAAGCCTTCCAGGGAAACAGCACAGAATGGACTGTTGGTTGTATGTTTTTTAATTATATATATAAAAATATATATGTATGAATATTTCAACAGATCATAAGGAGGAAAAAAAAAACCTCTTTGGTTCTTACAAAAGAAACCAAATGAACAAATGTTTCTCAACAACAGCTTGGACATCTATCGATCATGACTGCAAAGCCTGTTGTGTTGAACTCCCATTAGGGTGGAGTTTATCCGCAGTGGCCAAAAAAAAAAAAAAAAAAGCAGAATGAAAGCAACCTCGTTACTGATTAAACTGATGGGTGGGTGGAGCCTTGGGGAGGTATTTGGGCAGTTACTTCTGGGGTGTGTATCTGTTTGTCGTGAGCCCTGGAATGGAATGGATTGGTCCTTCTTAGACCTGTTCCTTTCTGCCTCCCGAGGCCCTGCCCTACTCTAGAACTGTGTCATCTATTCACCACCATAAAGGAATCTTCCTGCTGAACATGGCTGTGTTGGCTTTTTTTTTTTTTTTTTTTTTTTTTTTGTTCTCCCGTCTCTTTTCTGGTTGATAGGAGCAGAGCTGGTGGCTAGCAGAAGTCAAGAGAGGCATGTCTAAGAAAGGTGATAATTGGAAGGAAAAAATAAATTAAAAAAAGTAATATTTTACTATATTACTTCAGCTTATTATTCAGACAAGAGCTTTTTTAGAACATAGGTACCACAAACCCATTTATATTTACACACACACTTAAGATGGATAAAGTCTGATTTTATGTCAGGCTGATCTTGAACTTGAGCTCAAGAGCCTTCTTCGTCAGCTTCAAAAGTGTGTCACCATACTAAGCTTAGGATAGGTTTTAGCCAACCTCCTAACAGTTGACAGTTTCCCCACGTTACCTCTGTCTCAGGTTTCATGTACTCCAGGCTCAAACTTGAACCTCTGGTCATGGCTGCCTTCACCTTCCAATGCCCAGACTTCAGGTATGCACCACCATGCCCGGTTTAGGTGGTGTTGGGTCTCAACACTCAAGCACTCTTCCAATTGAACTACATGCCTCATCCGAATTCTCCAGGTCAGTAGCTAGCATGCCCTAGATTAGTTTACCAAGTGGGGCCCGATCTTTATGATTGTTGTAAATTAGCCCTTCATAGAGAAGGTGAATTGTGGTCTTGGAATTCTTTATTTTGGTTTTTTGAGACAGGGTTACTCTGGTTTTGGAACCTGTCCTGGAACTCACTCTTGTAGACCAGGCTGGTCTTGAACTCAGAGATCTGTGTGCTTCTGTCTCCTGAGTGCTGGGATCAAAGGCATGTGCCCCAATGCCTGGTGGTCTTGGAATTCTTAGTAGTGACCAGTGGGCTCTGTAAGTTCTCACCACATTGTCATTCTTCCTCAAACTCTCTCGGTGGGGTTTGAGAGCTAGGGACAGCTGCAGCCTGGCCTGCTGAGTTTGGTGGTTTGTAGCTTGGTGGCAGCTGTTTGACCGGGCTTCCCTCTGTCTTTGTGTCATGGTGTAGTTTGAACATTCCTCCTGATGTGCAACTTGGATGTTTTAAACAGATGAGTGTCAGTGATCTATGGAGACAGTGGGAAATTGTGGTGCTGGCCCTTGATTGTCCTAGGCTGTGCTAACCACTGGATGCACAAATTCTAATTGGTGTTAATAAAAATCCCAAGTCAGATATAGGGGAAAATGCTAAAAGATCAGAGGAGCAGAATAGCCAGCCACTAGTTCTCACCTCTACCAAATCCTCAAATTGAATGGGAAACCTGTCCCCATCAGACTGAATGCTGTCTCTAGGAAACCTCTGAATTCTCTGAGCTCCTGCCTCTTCCCGCCTTACATTCCTTTCTCTGCCCAGCCATTACACTCCTGTCTTGACCTCCCTAGTGCTGGGATCAAAGTTGTGAGCGGTTTCTCTTTGAGACCGGCTCAATCTAGTATAATCCTGGGTGGCCTTGAATTTGCAGAGCTGTCTGCCTCCACCTCCACCTGCTGGGATTAAAGGTGTGTGCCACCACTGCCTGGCCTCTGTGGTTGACTAGTGTGGCTAGCTCCACACTCTGACCTTTAGGTCACAAACAAAAAAAATATCTCCACAGATGCCCCTCCAAACATCTACCTTGTCATGTCCCTCTGTGACTATGGACACTCTGGTCTGCAGCTTCTTTGCCTTTATTTATTTACCCCCCCCCCCACTTCTACCTTTATTTTGGGAGGGCTTGGGCAAGAGAGGTGGAAATTGGCTGTGTAAGACCCTGTTGTTTTGACATTGCCGGGGTGCTTGAGTGTGAATCCCGCTAAGCATGTATTGAGCGCGAGCCGCCCCCCCCCCCCGCCTATTTCAGGCTTGTATAGAAATCTTAGGAAAGTCTGCAAAAAGCTCCTTGTCTTCCTGCTTTTCAGTCCAGTGCAGGAGAGGACATGCACTGGCATCAGATTGGGGCTCCTTTCTTGGCCAAACAAACAATGCAGTCCCAGCCTCAGCTAGGGAGGGGGTAGCTAGCTGAATGCAGGCTGAAAACAAGGCCCGAAGAAACTTCCTCAGCCGTCAAACCTATCAGCTTGGTTAATTTTCTCCAGCTGGATGCCACCAATTCAACCAGCACCCTGATTAAGAAACAGCATGGCTGTACTCCAGGAACACCCCGTCCCTCCTCACCAATAGCTCTGCAGGCACCCGTTCCTTAGGTCATTTGCTCACCGTCCTCCATACTGGCTCAGGTAAGTACACAAACCCAGCTTACAGGTGAAATGGTTGGTCATCGTGAACACAGTGGGTAGGAGGTCTCAGTTGTGCCTGAGTAGTCTCCTTCTGTGTCTTGGCTTTCTCAGCTGGTAGGCTAATTGGGAGTTGGAAAAAAAACCACTTAAGTTGCCTAATGCACCCCCAGGCCTTGTGTGTGAGCTTTGGCTGTGTCCCGTCTCCCCCCCCCCCCGCCAGGCTGGAAGGCGTGTGCTGGAACTCGCAGGCTCAGGTTCGCAAGTGCAGAGCCACCTGGTGTCAGGTGTTTCCCTTCCCTTTCACAGGCTGACTTCTGCATTTGCAGTAAGGTCAGTACCTTTTCCCTAAGAGAAGTTTCAGAGCCACTCTCCATTAGCATGGGGAGAATTTGGCAGCCTAACCTTTCCTATTCCTTTCCTGTTGTTCTGACGTTCATGGCACACGACAACAGTAATATCTCTTTATTGGCAGCAACTGGCTCAGAGGTTATAGAGTGTTCTAGTTGGGAACAGGCTTCCAGATGTTGCAAAAAAAAAAAAAAAAAAAAAAAAAAAAACCTGTCGTAATTGTACAACCATGTTTGCATTTCTAACTTAAGAATCATCATATTCAGGGAAGAAATCGAATCTGTGCATGTATATTCTGATTAATAGAACTAGATTCACTTACTGTTTATAATATACTGTACACACTCCACCCTTTGGCTTCTGTTGTCACGCTACACTGCCCCATGTATTTGTCATAGATCCAGCTATTACATGTGACCAGAGTGCTCTGATGCTTTGTAGTCAACAGGACACATCATTGCTTGGCGCTGAGTGTTTTAAACTACTTTATCCTGTGACCCCTTGTCCTTACAATCTAGGATTATGAGAGCCTGTGTCCCTCAGGCTGCTGTCGTGTCATCTGTGTTACGGCCTCTGAAGAGGACAGTTTTAAATTGCCACAGCTTTACCTGAAGCCAGTGCCTCGTGCTTGTCAAGCACATGCTGAACCACTGAGCCTAGACCCCAGTTTCCGATATAAATCATGTTACTATGTATTCCCTGTCCTTGAAGAATTGTTACAAGATCAAATAAAAATTTAGATAGTAAGAATAGTAGATATGTGATAGTCTACATTTAAGTTATTTATATTAGGGGTCTTGGGGAAAAAAGATGACTACTCAATGGGTAATTGCTTAATTGGGGAGCATTGTGCCCAACAGGTGGTATATGTTTAAGACAAATAGAATATTCATAGGACAGAAATCTGTGTTCCAATAAAGACCATGGCCTACTGGTCAGATACTCATATTTCCAACAGGAAGGGAGCCAGAGGACCGTCAATCCCATCCACTGCTCTCCCACTGATTGCTGGGGGGGGCAGGGAGTCTGGAGGTCTTAGAAAGCAGCCTCCTGGAGCATGAGCTGAGCAGGGCAGTGGTATAGGAGGGCAACCCGAAGGTCCCCAGCAAGCTATCAAAGCTGGTCTTAGGGTCTCTTTCCCCCCATTGGCGGGCTCAGTTTGATGCTTCACCAGCTTAAGGGATCGAGATAGAATTAGATGGAGAGACAACATATCACATGCTTCTTTTTACTTTATTGGTAGGTAGAAAGGATTTTAGCATAAATATTTTAAAAGCTGCAGCTCCAAGATAAAAGGTCAAAGCCAAATTTGGCCTTGAGCTTTAGAACTGACACTCAAGCCACTGTAACAGAAGCCACTGTCCCTTACACCTGGGGAAACTCAAGAAAGCCATGTTCGGGGATGTTTAGAGCCACAGCACTCGAAAGGATCCGTCTTCCCTGCCATTCCCTCTGCAGCCCGGGTGCCTTCTCCAGGGTAGATGCACGTATTCCTGGGCTGCAGTGCTGAACACTCAGGAAGTCTCCATCACTGGGTGATTCCTGGTGAAAGCAGCAGTTTTAACTAATTTTGTTTCGTTGGTCTCCAATCCAGAGTCTGCTTTGTTTATGGAACTCAATAGGAAAAGCCAGTACCTCTTATGTCAAGGCCTTTCATGCTCCAAGCCCACAGTTTAACCACTGCTTTACTGAAGTTAAACCACATAACTATTTTAGAAAAAAATTATTTTTGTTTTATGTCTGTACCACATGTATGCCTGGTGCTAAGGCCTGAAGAGTGTGTTAGCTTCTCTGGAACTGCAGTCAAAGGTGGTTGTGAGCTGCCATGTGGGTGCTGGGAGTCAAACCCAGAAGGAGCAGCCAATGCTCTTAACAGCTGAGTCATCTCTCCAGCCCCCTATGTCAACCACTTTGTACTGCCCTCAAGCTGGAAGGGCATCATCTGGACACAAGTCCTAGTTAGAGCTAGGCGGTGGTGGTGCATGCCTTTAACCCCAGCACTCAGGAGGCAGAGGCAGGCAGATCTCTGTGAGTTCGAGGCCAGCCTGGTCTACAGAGCTACACAGAGAAACCCTGTTTCAAAAAGCCAAAAGAAACAAAACAAAACAAAAAAGTTCTCGTTAGAGGCTGAAGGAAGCTGCCATTCGCCCTCACCTGCCTTCCTCCAGATGGCCTGGACAGAATGAGCTGTAGGAGAAACAGTAAAGGTCCTTCTGGACAGCCATGAGCAGCCCTGGGGCTCCCTGGGGGCCCCCAAGGCGAGAAGAGAAGGCCACACTAGGAATGTTGGCCTTGGAGGTGGGGTATGGAGAAGGTATGGTTCTGAGCAGGTGTGCATCATGGAGGCTCCAGATTCTGGTATAGCAGTCTTGGCCCACTAAGAAAGAAGGAAGACAACATAGCAAGTTAGTAAGAGAATGCAAGAAAGTTACGGCATGTAGACACGGCTTCTTAGGACCTCTCAGGGCCAAGTGATTGTACTAAGCCAAAACACAAACCTAGAGTGGAAGGTATTTGTGCTAACATATTTCTTAAAAAATAAGACCATGAATTGGTATCTCGCTCCTGAACCGTAACCAGCTGCAGGTGTTCAAAGTGACAGATGCACTGGCTGCCCGTGACACAGCAGGGGCTCAGCTGGCACCATTTATGGGTAGGGATTCTTCTCAAGTGGGAGTCCTGCCCACCTGACCTAAATGCCAGGCAGCTGGGTTCCTTTGATGAACTAGCCAGGAAGATCTCTCAACTTTGTTACATCTTGGCAGAGCAGATGACAGCTATTTCTGGTTGAATTCAAGTTAAAAGTCTGCAGGACTCCTAGTTCTGAGCAATGTGGCCCAGGACACCACGGATTGTGGCAGCCCAGATGCTGTATGCTCCTAGAGATCAGCAATCAGATTCCAGCTGAGCGACTGTAGGCCCAGTGTGCCTCAGCAGAGGATGCACTTGGGGTATGTGGTTCACTACTGTATTTGGGCAGACAGCTGTGCGGGACTCTCAGCTGGCTTACCTTTAGCCCACCATCTAGCACATGAAAACTCTTCTGAGATGAACATACGTTTTGGAGCAAGCCCAGTGCTAGAGCTGAAGACGGTAAGCACATTTAAACTGCTAACATGGTAATGCTGCCTAGCACATGTTAAGGGCCTATTACTGTTTCATATGTAGACACACTGTTGTGGCCTGGAAATAGTACGATCTATAGTTACTGTAAGTCCCTCAGGGCTTAATGGCCAGGTGGCTGCTGCCCCTCGGTAGATCACAGGTAATATCAAATGGCCAGGATACAAGCACTTTCGGTACCCTTAGTTTCTCAGCATCCTCTGAACGGAATGTGAGCAGAATGGACAGCTTTTAGACAAGATGGTGCCCGATGGACTCCCATGACTCAAAGAGGCATGACTTCCAAGCCAAACTCAGTTCCCAGCTGCTGTGTAGTGGTGCTCATTACCTGCCTGTTTCTGAGGTGATACTAATTAAATGTGAGAGCCCTCACAGATAGCATTTGAGGCACGGGGTCTCCCCTTCCCCACACACCTGCCACCAGGATTCCTTCCTCCTCGTGCACATGCAGGGGCAGGTAGGCATACTCATTCACATGACCTTCATACTGCCTCACAACACATTTAGTGGCCCTCAGGTCCCACAGCTTGATCTGGGAGGAAAAGCACAAGGGGTTACTTGGGAAGGGTGCAGCAGGCACTCAGACTACCAGGTATGAAGCTGGAAGGGTGAGGCGATTGCCAGGGGCCCTTAACCCCTACAGCTTGAGTCCATCAGAGTCACAGAGCCAGAGGCCCCTCTGCACTTCTAACCCGGCAAGACTACACTCACGCGGAGGAGCGAAAGAACTTCAGGGCAGCCCCTACCCTGGTGCCAGCGTCTCTCGCACCCACCACCCTGAGGCCTGAAGTCAGGATCTCCTACCTTTCCAGCCATGTCTGATGCTATCAGGTATTGCTCCTCCTTGAGGACCCGCACAGAGGTCACTGCGGAGTCGTGGAAAATTCGCATGCCCTTCCAGCCCGTGCCTTGACTTGGAGACCGCAGGTCAATGGCAAAGATCTCCCCAGAACGACAGCCATTAAACAGTAAGGGAGTCTGGAGACAGAGAGAGCCAGAGGCAGTGCCCAGTTTTTACCACCAGCTCCTAAGGGTGTGTAGGTCTCAATGGACTCAGAAGGGAGGCCGAGTTCTTGTGAGAGACTAGAAGACACGACCCTGTGTCCCTCCAGTATCCACCCTGTGGTGAGCCTGTAGGTGCTTGGAGGTAGTGCCATTGTTCCCTTAGGCTTCTTACCCCCCCTTTTTTGGAGGCAGATTTTTTTCTAGGTAGCCCTGGTTGTCCTGGAACTCACTTTGTAGACCAGAGATTGGCTATGAACTGGCAGCTCTCTCAGTTACAGAGTGAGTTCTAGGACAGCCAAGACTACAGAGAAACCCTATCTTGAAAAAACAAACAAATCCTGCTGAGCATGGTGGCACATACCTTTAATCTCAGCACTCAGGAGGCTGAGGCAGAGCGATCTCTGAATTCAAAGATAGCCTGGCCTACAAGTGAGTTCCAAGTCAGCCATGGCTACATAGCGAGATTCTGTCTCAAGGAAACCAAAACAACCAATAAAAAACCCCAAACAAGCCAGCAACCAACTAACAAAGTACCCACTGGTCATTCCCATGCCTTTTTTCTTGTAAAAGAGGTGGGGGCCCAGACGCTACACCAGTTTCACTCCCACAAACATTTCACTCTGGGAACATTCTGTTATACCCTTTCCCAATCCAACCAACCTTGACAGCAAACTGCTGAGCCAAGACATCACTGTTGGTCCCGTATAACTGCCGGTGCCCTGTCACCACATTGGTCAACAGGATCCTTCGAGACAAACCTGGTAGAGACAAGAAATGGATCCCTGAGACCAGGGATGCTGGCAGCCTGGGGAAGAGGAAATGCTGGGTGGGACCTTCAGGTCTGGGGAGTTCTTTACTTGACACCCAGGGCTATGGCCATGGCTCACCGGTACTGAAGCAGTTATCTGCCTGGGTGTTCAGGCACCAGGCACAGGACCAGGCACCAGGGATCCGGAAGCTGCAGAGCATGCCAGGCTGGTCTGTACCCGCTAAGAGAAACAAAGGGAAACAGGGCTGCCTGTGGTGATATTTTATTTATGATCTAACAAAGATGGCCTGATGATCAGATGTCAAGTTCTCAGCCCAGACTGTGGCATTCATGGTGCTAACAGCTGTGACGGGGGTGGTGTCAATCCTTGTCCCAGTACCAACAGTGTGCTCAAGTCAAACCCTGAAAACTAAGACCTGACAGAACACCTCAAGGGGTAAATCCAGCCACGTGCCCACCACTAAGATACACCAGTATCCCAGAAGCCTCCCTCACGCCGCTTTCCAATTTCTATCTCACTTCACATTGTTTCCTACAGGAGTTACTATCAAGACTTTTGTGGGGCAAAATTTGACCTGCTCCTCACCTCGGTCTCCTTATCTGTAAAATGGTAAGATACGTTTGTGGGGGGCAGTGAGACGCCCACAGGGCTAAATGCTCATGGCCTCCTTCCTCTACCTCCATGACCTTCCAGAGGTCAGGCGAAGTGCTTCAATGTGGGAATGGAGTAGCTATGCTTTAGGTTAGCTCTGCCTGATGTCTGCACACCACATGCAGGTCTGTCAGAAGGAACAGTCAAACTGCTTCCAGCCAGCTAGCATGCCTACCACACTCGGGAGCTTAAGCAACACCTTCTGAATGATCGCCACAGGCTGCAGCTGAGACCAGTGTTTGGATGTCTTGTGCTGGCTAGTCACACCCACTTTGCTCTGGTTGCAGAAATGACCTCAAAGGGTTTATTAAAAAGCAGCAGACTCTTAAGATCCAGTGGTCCTGGGACAGACTTTGGGAACCCTCCCACCCTGCTGCCTACCCCAGCCCATGTGCTGAACTGGGGTCACCCAGAGGACACAGGCCTTCCTCAAGACAAAGGGACTCTGTACCTTGGTGATTACTGACGAACAGTGATGCTGGGAGCAGGGTGGCACAGCCTGGTGTCTCTGCAAGGCCCATGAGGCACAACCTGCAAAAAATCTGTCAAGGATAGCCAGGTATGGACCGGGCCCTCCTCTGGGAGGAGAATGGCCATCAGTGACTTTCAGGAAATTATAAAACACAAAGTAGGGTGGGGAGTCCAGATATGACATTCTACATTTTCCAGTTTTAGTTTCTTCAGGAGTATGTCCCAGACACAGTTAAAGTTAGTCCCTTGTGAGCCAGGCAGTGGTGGCACATGCCTTTAATCCCAGCACTCGGGAGGCAGAGGCAGGTGGATCTCTGTGAGTTCGAGGCCAGCCTGGTCTACAGAGTGAGTTCCAGGACAGGCTCCAAAGCTACACAGAGAAACCCTGTCTCCAAAAAACAAAACAAACAAACAAACAAACAAAAAAGCCCCTTGTAATCTCTTTCCTGTCTTCTACCAAAGAACTAGGGTTTTCAAAGTGAAGTGAGTTCATTGAGGCCACAGTGTAACATGTTTGTACATGTATTTGCCTGTGCATATGATGAAGTCAAGTCTCAAGTTCAATGACAGCGAAGAGGCTAAGAACTAATCAGTTATGGGATGAACCAGTGTCCTGAATGTGTTACACAAACCCTACTGTGTTCCTAGAGAAAAGCCCTGCTGGTTCACTGAGAGGCCATACACTAGAGAGTTCTGAAGGCACAGACCTCAGATCTACAGTCTTGTGCTCAGCATCAAAGTACTTCCCTTACCGCCTTCCTCCTCTACCTCCCGGCTGGGTACGTTCTTAGGAATGTGCTAATCCTTTTTACTTTATTTCTTCACCAAAGCACTACTTCCCTGGCAGGGATGCTGGGTTTGTCTGGTGACCTACGACCCTGAGACTGTATGTCAGTGGCAGAGCACATGGGGTCTGGAGTCAGACTTCTTCTAACAATTACACGTCAAGTCCCAGATGTCTGGCACACAAACTTCATCATCATCCAGTCAACAGCCACCTCTGGACTTCAGTTGCTTCTGGAGATGCCCTGCTGTGGACCCAGGTGTAGTCTTTGTCCAAAAAGTGAGACAAGGGTGCAGAACGGTCCACCCTTCTGCTGTCTTCACAGATGGTTGTCCACTAAACCTATTCACCTGCCAAAGGATACAGGATGTGGGAATCCAAGTGACTGAGCGAGGCCCAGCACACAGAGTTCACCTGGAGAGGAAGCAGGATGAGACAAAGACTAGGTTGACTGCCGCCCATGGGAACAATGGCCAAATGCTTTTCTAGGAAATGCCTTGTAGGGGCTGGAGAGAGGATTCAGCACCTGCTGCCCTTACAGAGCATCTCAGTTTGGACCCAGCACCCACACCCAATAACTCCAGTTCCAGGAGATCCAACAACCTCTTCTGGACACACACAGATACATATGCACATGTATGTGCGTGTGCATGCATGCACACATACACCCCCTTAAAATGCAAAAAGACAGAAAAGACTTGAAGGGACACAGACACATGACCTCCTACCCTCTAAAGTACTGAGAGTAAACTCAAAGCTCTGAACATACTAGGCAAACCCTCTACCACTAAGTTACTCCTTAATTCAGGTTCTCAACCTGTGGTTGTGACCCCTTTTCGGGAGGGGTGTCGGGCGGCCCTTTCCCAGGGGTTGCATATCAGATATCCTGCATATTAGATATTTACATTATGATTCATATCTGGTACACCCCCTTCCCCACCCCTACTCAAGCCAGACCTGCATTCTCAATTATAATTTACAGGGCCAGGAGACAAGTCCTGTGTCCTGCTCACCCACCCGGAGTTTCTTTCTTTCCTTCCTTTCTCTGCCTCCTCTGAGATAGGGGAAATGCCTGTAGCTCAGGCTAACCTCAAGCGAACGGCGACCCTCTAGTCTCAGTCTTCTTGTGTACTGAGATTCTAGCTACCACACCTGGCTCCCCAAGTCATTTTTCAACTTGGATCTACCGCGTGGCTCATGTCCCTGCTGAACGGGAAGTCACAGCCTCTTAGAAGCAGTTTAAAGGTGGCTCCTGGAGGGAGAACACCCTGACAACTGTGATGGCCATGGAGGACTCCATCCAGGCTGTGGCCACTGCAGCCCACATCCCACAGACCACACCCTTCACTGCAATCCCCATCCTTTAGAAAAGAGACAGGGCAGGACCCACCTTCCTGTTGGTGAAGTACAGGTTCTCGTGCATGTGCACCCTGAACGTGGGGGCCTTCAGACCCTGCAGGTTGATGATGCCGTACTTGGAGCCTCCTATTTGGACATCATTCACTGTGAAGAGGCGGTCACTGCTAGTATCTGCCTGGAGGGAAACATGCTGTAAGTGACCTCTCAGGCTGAACCATGTGACCGCCTGAACTCTACTCCATGAGGGAATATAGCAGGGCCCTACCTTTGCTCCCGCTCAATGTAGTGAGTCTGAGCCTTGCCATTTCTGAGGCACAGATGAAGATGGTAAAAAGAGGACATGGTCCAGAAGTTTGGTGTCCTTAGTGACCACCTAAGAACTAAGTCTGGGAGGATCTTAATGTTGGCCTGGAGGTCTATACCCATATGGCCACCATGAAAGCCAGCTACATAGTAAGATCCTACTGTATTTAATTTAAAAATACAACAGAGTGTCTGTAATATTAACATTTAGGAAGCTAACTAAAGAAAACCCACCAAAAACAAAAGAACTCCAAACAAAACATAACATTGTTATTTCAAACTAAAATCGTCATATTTACTTTTTTCTGTTTTTGTTTTTCAAGACAGAGTTTCTCTGTGTAGCTTTGGAGCCTGGCCTGGCCTCTACTTACTTTGTAGACCAGGCTGGCCTTGAACTCAGAGATCTGCCTGCTTCTGCTGGGCATGTGCCATCACCGCCTGGCTTACCTTTTTTATATGTAATCATATGCTTGTGTGCACAAAAGTACACACATACACACTGGTGAAATTCCCCCTACTCTGCAAGTTTCAAGAGTTACATGCCTGGATAAACCTACTAGTGATGAGAATCACATGTGGAAAACTGCTTTCCCAGTTCTCCAGTCATACAAGGCAGCCAGTCACATGTGATGCTGGGTGACGATGTGCATGCATGCGTGTACGTGTGTGTGCATGCGTGTGTATGTGCATGCGTGTGTGTGTGTGTGTGTGTGTGGGTGTGTGTGTGTGTGTGCGCGCGCGTGTGTGATGACGGGGAACTGTTCTACCAAAGACAGCAGACTGCACTCTAGTGCCAGCGAAGGGTGTGAGGGACCCACTGCAGCAAGTGCCTTCTGATTCAGATCACACTGCCATCACAAGGGCGGCAGCAACAGAGAACCTGGACCTGACCCCAATACTCCCTTTATGGATAGGCTCTGCCCTCAAGGTCTCCTGGGCCAGGAGACAACGTACTTAAGGGTCACTCTGTGGCTTTGGCCTCCCATCCTGCAAGCTGACCACTGCTTCCATGGCCTACTCTCACTCTCCCAGGCTTCCCTTTGGATGTGGCCTTTCTGGCAAGACAGGCACCCAGGAGGCCCATGTAGGGGAGCACCCTTTATGTGCAGGGTGCACTCTGGCTCCAGATGATGCTCCACTGTCCTCAGGCTCTAGTACTTAGCTTTGGTTTCCAGCCAACCCAGGTCTCAGTAAATAGAGACGCTCCACTTTCTGTGAATGGTATGAGGGTGGTGTATAGGGCCCTGCCACTATGGTCAGGGCCACTGAGAGAAGAAACCCACTGTGCTAGAGCTGATGGTACACGGATCCTGCCCCCTGGGCCCCTTTTCAGCTGCACACACTATAGCCAGGGAGTAAATCCTTTGTTCTTAGCATGTGACTAGACCCAGGCTTTCCGTCATGGGACAGACAGACAGACAGACACACACACCCACACACACCCTTAAAACAACAAAAAAAGAAAAATCCCACCAAACCCAAGGGAAGACACCAGTTTTCAATGTAATCAGCTTCTTGCTACCCAGGCTTAGTGAAAGCCATACATGGGCACCCACAGACGTGTGTCACTTACCAGGATGAAGTTAAACCGGTCACTTGCCAGAGCAGAAGGGTCTGCGCTCTGAATCTCCACCTTTTTCCTCTCCATGCAGCTCACCCGCAGCTCATGGGATAAACTGAAGAGGGAAACAGAAATACAGGGAGGGAATGGACACTCAAGTCTGATGCTAGGGTGTACTTCTGTAGAACCACCTCTGTGACAAGATGATTTGTAAAAAACATTTATGTTTAATGTAAATGGTGTTCTATCTGCATGTACACCTGCTTGCCAGAAGAGGGCATCAGATTCCATTATAGATGGCTGTGAGCCACCATGTGGTGGCTGAGAAATGAACTTAGGACCTCTGAAAGAGCAGCCCGTGAGGTTAACCTCTGAGCCACTTCTCCAGCCTAAGATGTTTTGTTTTGTTTTTTTTTGAGACAGGGTTTATCTGTATAGCCCTGGCTGTCCTGGACTCCATCTGTAGACCAGGTTGGCCTTGAACCATTAGATGATTTGAGTGCAGAATTTCAAGGCCAAACTAGGTCATGTCTCAACAATAAAAAATGCAAACACCTAGGCTTCTGCCTGTTCCCACACTCATCAAGTTCTCACATGGAATGCTAAGGGTAGCCCTTCCCTAAATCAAAGAGGTAGTTAGACTCCAGTCACCTGGTACCAACTTTCTCTCGGGATGATAAGGCTATGCCTGAGATGAACAAGCTGCTAAGGGGCACAGGGCGAAATCATGAGAGCCCAGATGTGCAGCCAAAGGCAGCCAGCAAACTGAAGACTCAGCTACAGAGACTTGCCACAGAGTAGCACAAGGTCTCTTGAGTAGATTTGTGAACTACAGAAATCAGGACAGGAAAGAACAAATAAGACATTGTCTTACCGGCAATAACTGGTGATGTTGAGAATACCCAGCTGGTTTTTCCGTAGGATGGAAGATGCGTTAAATCCCATTCTAGTAATTTTCTAAGTTTGTTTAAAAAAAAAAAAAAAAAAAAGAGTCAGTGGTGAGTAGTGGAGGCAGCCATGATAGCAAGATCCTGGATTTCTAACTTCGAGGAGGAAGATCCTGGACACAGTTCAAAGCCACCCTTGGACACATAATACTTTCAAGACCAGTTTGGGTTATGAGAAACCTTGCCCAATAAACAAAAACAAAAAGCCACTGAAGATTTATCTGTGATATGTTTGGGTAACAGAGGTATTTAGTTCCACAGCACACAATGAGGGAAACAGGTATTAAGTGGTCAGACATTTGATGAGTAAAATGTGATGGTGTCCTCTCAAAGGCAGGAAGATACCCCAAGCACAAGGCAGCCCTGTGGGTTGTACTGGAGAGCCTAAGCCACCCACACCTGTGTTGGCTCCTTGATAGGCCACAAGCTGATGAGAGTTGAGCAAGGCCAGATGCCGGGTCCATGTCAGCAAACAGAAAAGCAAGTAGGAAATGGGTCTCTTGCCTGAGCTTGTCCTCGTCATTCCCACACTAGGGAAAACGTGACGGCACATGGACGTACTCCCTCTGAGTGTCACAGGGCGTCTGACTGGCAATCTGCTGCCAGCAGATGGGGGCTGTCGGAGAGAGGGGCCTGAGTAGCCAAGGCTGAGTGCCCACCTTTTCCTGCTTGTCCTCTTGCTGAAGCAGCTGCAGCCTTCTGCTCTCCATTTCCCTGTGCCGGATGCCCTCCTTTGTCAGGGGGTTGCAGTTGTTATGACCAGGGAGTAAACGGAAGTAGCGGTTCTTTTCAGGGTCGAAATAAAAGCCTGGAAGTTCTTTAAGAAAAAGAATTCAACTGACCAAATTATAACACCAACCTACCTAATCACAGTCCTACCTAATCTTTTCTGCTGGTTGAGCGACAGTCAAGGTCGTCACTGAGTTCTGTACTGAGAGGACATCTGGCCCAGAATCAATCATTAATCCCATCACCTGGCTTCTTCCTCCAGTGGATCAATTTGCTCTTAGAGTTCCCTCAAGTCAAGAATGGGCACACAACCCCCTCAATAAGTGAAGAGACACATCCAAGCCCTGGCCAAGGAATGGCAGCTAGGACAGACTCACTCCCTGGTTTGACACAGGAAGAGGTTTTATCTCCCTCCAGGCAGGCCAGGAGCCCTACCTAGCTTACTGCCTACCTGGCACAGATGACTCCGCAGCTGTGCTGGATGAGGTTGATGGGGCCTGAGCATCATGGTGGCCAGAATCTTGTGGGCCCCGAGATGTCCCTGCAGTGTACCTGTTGACATACAGTTGTGGCAATGAGTGTGTGGGCTCATGGAGGCCAACAGACAATCTTGGGTGTCAATCCTTAGATGCTGTCCATCTTTTTGAGACAGAGGCTCTCATTAGCCTGGAACTCGCAAAATAGACGGGGACTGGCTGGTGAGTCTCAGGGATATGTTTGCCCCTGCCTTCCCAGTGTGGGGAGCACAAGCACATGATGCCACACCCCTTTTCAAACATGGGTTCCAAGCAATCAAACAAGTGCATCTCCCCAGGCTGGTTCTCAGTCTTTCAGACAGGAGGTCCTACTTGAGCAGGTCTGTAGCCTTCAACTGATCTTTGTGATTATCTGGGGCACACTTACCCTCCTGCAAACACACTAAAACACGGGCAAGCCTCTCCTTTCCTTTCCTTCCCTTCTCCTCCTCCGATCCCTCCCCCTTCCTTCCTTCCTAAGAAAGAGGACACCTGTTATAGGAATTTCTCATCTTCTCATTTGGGTATTGTGTACGTCGTGAGGTCTTTCAGAATTTTCCAGGACAAAAAGAAAACCAGAAATCTTGGCCACTAAGACTGTTACTAGCTGGGCTGTCTATCTGCTTAGCAGCATTTACACAGCCAGGTGAGTCTCATTCTTTATTGGTGTCAGCAACAGAACACTTTAACTATTACCTGGCTAGACAACCTCACAGATGAGACACTGGGATTCGGGGAACAGAGGTAATTTTTTTCCATAATATTAGGATGGAGCCATGGCCAACACACTGGATTTGTAAAGCCACCCACCAGTGGCCTCTGTGGCAATTACAGGCTGACATGTAGGGTGAGAACCCTGAAAGAAGCCCTCTCCCCACACACAATAAAAGGAAGTTTACAAGGGGAGGCTGAGGGGAGCAAAGACTGGCCTGCGTCCCATCAACACCTACGCTATCACAGCTGTAGGGAAAATTATTTTCTCTCCTTTTTCTGCCTTTCTGAGGCAGCCCATCTGTGATCAGCAGGAGAATGGATTAAGTGTCATGACAAATGTTGGTCGTTCTCATCCAGTGACTGCTGCTCCATTTTTTTCCACACAGAGACCAGAAGGTGGCTGTGCCCAGCAGGTTTCCAAGGCACTCTGCCAAAACTGGGCTGGGGCTCTCATAGATCACATCTTGTTACTCATTATGGCTTGTGGGGAAGGCCCAAGGCCCAAAAGGTAGCCATGGCTCTCCTAACAAAATATACCAACACCGAGTCTATTGCTAACCTTTCTACGGTAGGGAACAAACTTTGTGCTAAGGGCTCCAAGGGCCAGCTGGGCAGTTTATTTTGTGTACAGTTAAACCAGGGTGGCTTATGGGGACAGAATATGTTTTTCCCCCCTTTCCTTCCACCATGGCAGTGGGAACTCATACTCAAAGAGTCACCTCACCAACTCCAAATTTATCCAACTCCATTATCCAGGAGGACTAGGTTGGCAAGACAACTAAGTGGGTGAAGGTGTTTGTGGTCAAGCCTGATGACTTGAGTTGGTCCCTGGGACTCACATGGTGAAGAAATGATTCCCCAAGTTATCACCTCACCTTCACATGTATGCCATCACTCACACACACACACACACACAAACACACCCCAAATACATACAAGGAGGTCTGGCATGTTGAGGACTGACTGGAAGAAATTGCAGCTGGCACACGTCCTGCATGAAGACTTCCTACTGTGCAAGTCCTGGGAGTCCTCACCCAAGGTCAGGTGGGGACTGGGGGGGAAGTGAGAGGGGGCCTCGTTCTGAGACAAGGATGTTTGAACCTCCTTCAGCGGGACAATAAATGAAATGTGGAAGATGCTTATACTGGGGACTTCAGATGCTATGTAGAGACCCCCCCACCCACACACCAAAAAGACTTGTAGTCCACATGAATCTGCGTAAAGATTTGCCTTTTTATGTAAATATGCTACATGCTACATATATGTGTATAAGCAATATATGGTAACTACATATTACATAAGTCCCTTTCCAGGACTTACACTAGATAATATTCCCAGAGAGATTGTTTTGCCCCCTCGAGTCTCCAAATGGGAAAGCAGGTCTGCAGATGTGTTAGGAAACACTTTGGTCAGAAGTGAGTTTTGTGAAACGATGTGTCTGTGTCCCCACTCCCTGGAGCCATGGGCTGAAGACAAACTGTCAGGCTTCTGAGCACACCGGCTCCTGCCAACTCATTCTGAGAGGCGAGCACATGTGTGAGCATTGTGCCGGACAGCCAGAAGAGCACTGGGCAAATCGGGTTCCCAAATCTGTACACTTGCCTCTCATTGGAATTACTCTGCCTGAAGGCAGGGTTCTGCTGGCGGTTTCGCCCACGTCTCCTCTTGCTGTGCCAGAAGCTTCTACTCATTTCTGTAAGAGAAGACAGCACGTCAGACACCACAGCTGTGCGCTCTCCCATTTGCCTGGCAGCTCCATTATGCTCTCGATAGCCACTGGCGAGGCTGCCACCCAAGCCTTCCCCCAAAAGTCTGCTTCTAGCACTTTCCCAGTATCCCTTCCCACCACTGACAGAGATGATACATGATTAGACATGAAGATCTTAACTTCTTCCACATCTTCTCCACTAACACTTGTGTGAATCCTTTTTGTGTACCCAGCCCCCCACCTCCCAGACAGGGCTCTCTGTGTACCCCTGGCTGTCTGCAGAACAGTCCTGCTGGCCTCGAACTCAGAGGCTGTGTCACCAACTACAGGTTTTGTGTGACTATTAACTCTAGTCTTGGAAAAATAAACATGTTTCTGTGCCTCTCCAAGACACCCTCCCCACCTAGACGTCTACCTCATCCTTCCTTGGGGACATCACAGATATCTAGTTCCTGCTTAATATCTACCTTTTATCTCTACTGGTGCTCCCTCTCTGATGCAAAGGCACAGAAACACGGCGGGAAGAGTGAGCTCCACGTAAATTCAATGCCTTCATCTCCCCACCCCCAGCATCTGCTTAAAGGTTCTTGCCTCGGTAGCAGCTAATGATCCCTTTGGTCAAAGTTAGGGCACCGCATTTAGTCCCCATTCCTGCACTTGGCTTTGAATGGCCAAAAGCCTGCATTTGGAAGGTTGAGGCAGAGAGGCCACTAAATTAAGCCCAGCCTAGGCTGCCTAGTGACTCTCAAAAGAACCCTGAAGTTATGAAAGCACGCACTCTTCTTGCAGAGGACTTGAGTTTGGTTCCTAGCACCGGCTCATAACGGCTTGTTAACTCCAGCTCTGGAGGGCACCCACACTCACGCACATACTTCACCCTCACGTACACATAATTTACAAAAAAAAGCTAAGGGTTGGTAAATTGCCGTGTCAGTGGGTGGTAAGGGTGCTCTCCACCAAATACGAGGAGTCTCAACCCAGGATCCAAATGGTAGAGCCACCACCAAGTTGTTCTCTGACTACCACGAGTGCGCCAAGGCCTTCTTCCAGCACTGACTGAACAGTGCACAGACTTACACGCAGGCAAAACACCCACACACAGAAAATAAAAAAGAAACAGACCTTAAGATGGCCTGGTGGCGCTCTTGTAATCCCCAGCACAAGGGAGGGGAAGCAGGCGGGTCAGAAGTTCAAGGCCCAAGCTACCAAAGCCCCAAGAAAAAGCACCCCCTCACAAAAATAAATAAAACAAAAGCCCATGTTTAAGAATGAAAAGTAAGCTTTTCTAAAATACAAGTTCACTCTCAAGGTCCATACTGTAGTTTATATCTGCACTTAATTGTCTGTTACATGCTTCTGTCTCATGGGATGTGAATTCCTTTTGTTTTACTATAGTGCTGGAGACCTTAGGGCCCTACGCATGCTAGGCAAAAGATCCAGCATTGTTTTTTCTATTCTTAGCACCTCACAGAGTTGGCTATGTGAAAATTACTGCTGAGCAAAAAAACCAAGACAAACAAACAAAAAAGCCCCAAACAATAACAAAACCTGCTGCTATTTACTCTTCATGCTGTGGTGCTTGGGGCTGAATCCTGGGTCCTGGGCGGAACAACTGAGTTTTACCTCTAGCTCCCTTCACTATTAAAAAACTAATAGTATAAGGGTGTTATGCCTGCCTCTTTGTCTGTGCATCACTTGTATGTCTGGTACCCATGGAGGCCAGGAAGAGGGCCCTGGAGCTACAGTTATAGACAGTATGAGCCTCCATGTGGGTGCTGGGAATCAAAACCGGGCCCTCTGGAAATTAAAGCCAGAGCTTTAAACACCGAGCCGTCTCTCTAGGCCTGCTTCACTTCAAACCCTAGGCAGCTTTCCTCTGTGGGATGCTTCCCCTCAGTGGTTTACATATACAGGCCACTCAATGTGCATCCAGCACTGGGAAGTAGGCAGAGCCATGGGTCCTGCCTCATGACACCCGACTCACATGCTAGCAGAAGAGCAAGGAGTTGATGACTGCCCTGTGAGGACAGGCTAGAAGACTGGAAGGGTGGTGGGAGAGGCAGCGATAGACCAGGGCGGACAGGTGAGGAGCCTGCATATAGTTTGGTACCTTCAGAATCAAGTAGGGCCTGGGCGTTGGTGGCACACGCCTTTAATCCCAGCACTCTGGAGGCAGAGGCAGGCGGATCTCTTATGAGTTCAAGGACAGGCTCCAAAGCTACAGAGAAACCCTATCTCGAAAAACCAAACCATGAAAAAAATCAAGTACAAAGGACTGCGGAAGAGCCTAGAGAAGCAGGCAGGCAGAGGAAGGCTAAGCTTGATTACCCGACAGGAAGGGAGCAGGAAAGGCCGAGGGCAGCAGGGCAAACTCACAGACTGGGGAGATGGAATTCAGAAGAGTCAGGAGGGACCTCACGAGGCAGGTGGACTGCAGACCCACCGGGACCAGAAAGTGAGGAACTGGTGGCATCAGGAGACCAAGGATTGCAGGGACGGAGCCCAGAAGCCGGCCTTCACAGGAGACTAGCTCAGAAATACGGAAGGGCGGGGAAGCAAACGGGGTGGGGGTGGGGGGGAGGGGGGCGCAGAATGCTACAACGCAGGGCTCTTCTATTCTGAAGGAAGGCTAAAAAGGGTGAAACAGACATTCAGAATTCTATGGAACTAGTTTCCTAAGCTGACAGTTATTGAAAGTGCAGTCTTTTCTTAAAGATTTATTACCCGCGTGGATATGCGTATGAGGTTAAAGGACAACTTTTGGAAGTTAGTTCTCTCCCTTCAGTGGGTTTGGAGGGTGAAACTGAGGGACACAGGCCTGCAGAGCAAGCTTTTACCAACTGAGCCACCCCTGTATGGTTATTCTTGCAAACATAAAACAGTCAGCTCCTTTATGAATTAAATGCATTTGAGTTAACTGGAATAACAACTATTCACTATTCAGAACAAGACACTTTACTAAGAAGCCTAAAAAACCACCCCAATTTGCCTGTTCTATAGATTTCACATACAACTTATCCTAAAAGTAATGGCCTTCTGTATGTTTTTTTTTTTTTTTTTTCACTTAACATGTTTTCAACTATTACATTTTATTCCTGTTTTGTCTTATCTCTTTATTCTATGTGGGTGTTTTGCCTACTGGCTGGGAGGCCAGAAGAGGGAGTCAGATTGCCTGGGACTGGAGTTAACAGACAGTTGTGATCCACCACTTGCCCTTGGATGGGAAAGAGTAATTTAGACCCCATGATGTACACTGTTTTTCACATTACTACCAGGCAAAATTATCTTTGTGTTGAATTCTCACAGTGTCTATATATGGCTTTGGAGCCACATTTGACTCTGTCTCTGTCACCACGTCCAATGGCTTTCAAATCTGTTCCTTAAGCTTTGTTCCTCTCCATACCCCTCAGAATACACACACACACACACACACAGAGAGAGAGAGAGAGAGAGAGAGAGAGAGAGAGAGAGAGACTACAGAACAAGTTTCAGGTCAGCCAAGGCTATACAGAGAAACCTTGTCATGAAAAACCAAACCAAAACAAAACCCCAAAAAACACAACAAAACTACTTATGACAGCATTACCAATTAGATTAAGCATCATATAGTATCTATAATCTTTTGGGAGGGGGTCTCTCTATAGTAGCATTGAACATGTGATCTTCCTGCCCCAGTTCCCCACAAGCTGTGTTTACAGATCTGCATCACCACACCTCGATTGAAGTTCATCATCTTAAATCATGAAGACCACACATCACTATGGAGGGCATCTAAATGCCCGGGAGTACAGAATTCTATAACCCATTGTTCCCATTCAGCAGTGTTTCCTTCAATGAATGCTGCTTTCAGTAGCATTCCATTTTGAGATAACAAGCTACTATCAAGCTGCGCAATTTAAGATTCTGGAGTCGAAGTCATGAGCTAAAAATAGAAATGGGGGGGAATAAGTGTGCTTAAAATTATCCACCCCCTACATACAATCTCCACAATCACTTTAGTTGACAGGTGGGTACCTGCCCTGTTCAGATTCAGGCCCAAAGCCAGGCAGGGGGTCAGTTGTCAAGGTCACCATTGGCTATATACCTAGGCCACAGCCAGCCTGGCCCTAAACTTCCCCCTGAGACACTGGGTACAGGCCCACTATCAGGTGGACAGCCAATGTGTCCCTTATAATGTGGGGACCCGCTTAGGCTTCCCCTCCACTCTGCTGTTTGTGCCACCAGGAGGCCATCTCATTTTTACAACACCTTCAATGGTTAAGCTCCTTTGGCTCCTAACCTTTCCTTGTGAATGGTCCAGCAAGCCCAGGTTACTTGCTGTTTCTCAAGCCCTGCTCTACATTCAAGCCTTGGCAAAGGTCTACTTGTTTCTTTCATTCTTTGGGAGATTGGGTTTCTTTCCTATTGTCAGGCAGTCTCCCACATACGGACAGGTAAGGCTTTGTGTGTGGTCTGAGGATCCAACAGCCCACATGCAGCCTTTCCTCTCCTCCAGGACCTTCCAGGCTGGGCCTCATTATTCCTGTTGTCCCCTTGTCCTAGCAAACGGCGTGGGCTTACTGAGGCTCTGTACATGGCAGCAAGCAACGGCTAAGCAACAGATCCCAGAGCCTAGGGTCAGGAGTACGATGAGAGCAACAACAGCATGTATGGGTGGGTGGCTCAGTGCTACTCAAATGTATAGACCCTGAGCATTTGGGGGATGTCTTAGTTGGGAGTCCTGGGACTTTACCCTAACACATGGCTGGAGGACCTGGGGTTGGGGGCTACTGACAAAAATATCTGGGAATTACACAGTAACAGTGGCTGTTACTGTGCACTAATACCATGCACTAATAGCATGTTACAGTATTCAGTGAGGGCTGGGAAGACAGGAGGGTGAGCACTTGCCACTTCTAGGGGTTGGAATCCCCAGAGCCCCAGAACAAGGTTTCACTCCTACTGTAAAATGGGAGATGGAGACAGGAAGCCTTCTCATAAACTGCAAGGCCAGCTACTCAATAAATTAAGAGGGAACAAAAGACCCTGTATCAAACAAGACAAGTGACA